AGTATAAAATCATTTCTGGGGACTGCCCCGCTTTCTTATGTGTATTTCATACGAGCACACATGTCGGAAACGCGAGACAAATCGCAATGGCCTACATTTTCCGAATTCAATTATGAATACAAAAGCTCATTTAATAACAAACAAATTACAGATTTAGAAATTGCGTTCCACAAGGCCTCTGCCTGCAACCTGGGGAGAAGTTTAAAAAAGCTCTTCTTACAGCCCCCCATAGCTCTCTTCTGTGACAACACGAAACCATCACTTTCGTCCAGTCTTGACTTCGCTGCGAAATTGTGGGTCTCTTGTGGCCAAAGCGAGTGGCAAATGGCGCATCACATCGCGGATTGGCGCAAATGATAAAAACCGATAAATCACACGAAATTGCTGCGCGTACGAGACTCGAGCTAAGCTCAAGCCCCACACATGGTGGCGAAGTGAAGGTGGAAATCAGGCAAAAATTGCAGCGCCTGCCCGGCTAGCTAGAAGGCTGCATGGCAGGCTGGCTGGCTGTCTGGCTGGCTGACACTTAGCTGAAGAATTCAGTTGAAAAACCAAAAGAGACAAACTTATTTGCATTTGGGTTGTTGTCATCGTCTTCGTTGTTGTTGTTTTTGTTGCTGCTATTTGCTACTGACAGGCAACTTTCAGTCCAAAAAACATGAAAATTGTTGCCCACGAGTCTGCCAAGTGGCCGTCGAGGCAGTTGAAGTTGCAGAATACCCAGTCAGCCAGAGCCATGCCTTTGTTCATCTTGTTAGGGTTTGAACTTTATGCCTGTCCCTGTCCCAGTCCCAGTCCTCGTCCTCATCAGATTGTTGTTATTGTTGCTGTTACTGTGGCCGGCTGCTGTTTGGCTTATTGTTTTGTTTTAGTGCTGCAATTCCAAGAACTTTTCAGGTGGCACAGCATGTTTTGGAGACACACTTTTGGTGGGCCTCGCTCTCCAGAGCCGGTCAGCCAACGAGCTACAGAGGAACAGAGGACACAGTCAGAACCAGATGAAGCAGCCAGCAGCCAGCAACCATGGTTTCAATTAAAATATATTTAGGCATAATTTCAGCACAAAAAGCAACAGCCAGTGTCCAAATTGGGCATCCAGTCGCAAGATCGCGTCGTGCCCGGGTGCGTGTTGGCGTGACCGGCGCTGGAACCTCTAACATTTGTTAACATGACAAAAACTACACCACCAGAGCCCAGTGACCAGAGCCAGAAGCAGGCACAGGGAACGCGCCACACAATGCCCCCTTGGTATCGGTATCGTACACCCACTTGGTTGGCTTTTTCAGAATTCGTGTACATGCTTTTTTCCACTTAAATTGTATTGTTGATGTTTATAAATTTGTGCCAAGTATTAGTAAATGCTGTTGTGCTAGCAAATGGAACCTAACCAACTACGTACTACTAATAACTAATTACTACTATTTATGTATAAACTGTAATTATTAAGTTCAACGCAAGCAGCTGGCCCTGCCTCTGAATGTCCAATAACAAAGCTCAAAAGAAGGCTTATTAGGAGAAGATATTTAATTGAAAGCATTAATATTTTGTACAACTGTTTGGTGTTATTTTAATAGTTAATCTTATTGCTATAGCTAATGTTTCAGGCCGACTACTTAAAAACAAAAAAATTAAAAAAAAAAAAACAAATACTTGAAGCCTACCTCCCAATCAAGTCATTATCTTAAAGGAAATCATGAAAACAGTTATGAGTTCAGAATATAGCCCAACATTTTTTATTCAACGATTGGATTAATTGAAAAGTTGTTGATTAACAAATGCTATTATTTTCTTTCAGTGTCAGCAAAGACGTAATCTCGATGTGTTTGTTCGCTGAAATGCTGATATAAAGGACTAATTGAAAATAAATATAAAGAACTTAATTGAAATGTTATTGATTAACAAATGCTATTCTTTTGTTTTAGTGTCAAAAAGAACTAATCGCACTGGATGTATATTTGCTCGATGAAATGCTGTAATAAAGGACTACATTTTACTAAATAAAAGTGCATCCTTACTGCTTAAAATGACGCACCGTATTCGGAATAATCGACTTGTTTTATGCAATAAATTCATCTCTTAAGGTGGACGTTAAGCTAAAGGCTTGACCATGAAAACAATGCAAGCGACACTATTTCGAAACAGACTCACATTAGCAAGGTTTAAAATATTATTAGTAGGCTTCAAGGGTGGGTAAAAAATACTTTCAAAATATTGTGTAATTCTCCTTAATAAACAATTATGTTGGAGTCAATATGCACCCAGTTGTAAGTAGATGGAATATATTTGTAATACAAATGAATACAAACAGCCCTGCCCTACAGCTATTTCCCGCTGCATCGCACAAATAGCTATAAACAAGTTCGTATGGGTACTTAATTATGCAAATTTAAGTAATTATCGGTGCAGGGTTATCGGATAGCGTTATATGAGTATGTAAGAGGGAGAAATCACATTTAATGTTTTAGCTAATTAATATATTATCAGGGTTATATCTGTGCGTATTTATGGTCAACACTTCGTCGCTTTCTGCAGCGACTTCGGGACGGCATTTGTTCAAAGGAGTCACGAAGCTGACGGCGCTGCCTTTGGCGCATACAAATGACGAATGTCGTCTGCAAAAATTTAATTTTATTTTTTTGTTGCTTTTTTATGTTGGCAACACACTTTTGGGCATGTTTTAATGTCATTATATAATCAGCACAAGTCGCACAAATTGTTCAAAATTAAACAGAAAAAGATCTTTAGGGTTTTTGGTTGCTACGATACATATGTGTTTGTGGAGAGGCACAGGCGCGGACATAAAGCTCTGACAGCAGTTTTGTATGCTCTTTAGTTGTAGGCACATCATTTAAATTTTATTTACACACACACACACACGCATTTAAGCACACACACACACATCTGAGCTGTGTTTACATGTTTATGTTTTAAGTAAGTGGGTATTGTTGGTGGCATGTTTATGTTTATAAAAATTTACGAGCGTGCCTCGGCACGTCGACTCGTTTGGTCTTCAGCTCTAGCTTCAGCTCCGAGTTCGGATTTGGGCAAGCTATGGCCATTTGGCTTGTGGCAAAACCACTAAAGGCACACACACAGCAGATTGTTATCGGCGTAATGTTAATTTCCAGCATTTAAAAGTGTAATTAACTCAATTTGAAATATTAAGCGCAAGACCTCAACCTCACCGATCCACGCTCAATACAAAAGACTTAGGAAACAAACTCGGGACAACTACTCGTATTGAGCCGTGCGAGTGGACAAAAGGAAGCAGGAAACCATGTCAGGCATGTAGATATTTCGACGTGAGTCACACAAGCGGCTCGTGCTGCAGTAGCCTCCTGTTCAAACACTTGACACGTATTCCTGGAAGCCGCAACCTGCAGCACTCGCAGTTGCCCCCTGAATTTCTAATTAGACTGCACCCGGGCAATCGAAGAGGCATGATTGTGCGTTGCGAGTGTATTTATGCGTTCATATACATACATATTTACGTACACTGCATTGATCGTGCTGCCGCATTACACTGAAAGAATTACTAACGCACTTGCTGGAAACGCACAGCTTAATTATAGTAGATATTATAGTAATTTGAATAGATTTCTCCTTCTTAGGCCTTTCTAGCTTATAGGATGCCTTTTATAAATGTTTCTCCTATGTCGACAGTCCAGGTTTGTTGACATACTTGTAAATAAATAAACGAAAAATAAATAGGTGCGCTACAAACACATGAACCAAGAATCAAGTTAAATCAAAATCTTTACATAAATCTAAGTCACTTCTCACGTTTGATGCCTTTTATATTCAAGTAATTTTATCATTAATCAGGTTACTTAATCCATTATCAAGAAATGGAATAATTTATTAGGTATTAATACTTACATTCATATAAGATTTCAGCAGCTATCTATATTTCCGAAACAGTTACAAACAATTTGAATCACTTTTCAAAGAAATTGATCGCTGCATTCGGTTGTAAGAAATATGCCATTCAGTTGAGCGTCAGTGGTAATGGAAATAATTTAAGCATCACCCTTTGGAATGCTATTTATATTGTCCAATCGAATTCAAAATGGTAAAACGGCAAAATAGTTAAAAATGAATACACTTTAAAAAAAGAAGACCTTCAATAATTCATTCATCAATAAATATAACGTATTATGCTTAAATACTCTTAATTTTATGGAAGGATACAAACATTTTGCCTAACGCCATCACGTTGATTTCGAAACCTTAGGCACTCCAACATTTTCCAAATTAGAATTGTTTCATAAGTACAATTTATTCTAGAACGGGTTTTTTTTTTAAATGTTGCTAAATCCAGTACTCAAGAGATGTTGCAATCAATACTTAAATTAAGGCTTGGTAGCATATTTTGTTGTATTTCTTTTAGCTCAGATCTGAGCCAAAGAGCATTCTTTTTTTCAAGTGTACGAGTATTTATGAGTTCGTATGCCGCTGCCATCGATCACACAGTCACTTTCAGAGTCTTCGGATTCGTCTGCGACCATGTCGGCTACTGGGTGGGCAGGAGCCTTCACGTGGAAACGGGTGTGGAGACGCGCACATGCATTCAACTACCAGTGTTGGCTGCGCCTTAAATGCGACTATAAATTATTTGGACAAGTCGTTTGGAATATTTGATTCGTTGTTCTAGACCAGCGCTGCTGTCAATACGTTTTAATTTATGAGCTTGGCAGCATTTGATTTTTTTTTTTAATGTTTTTTTTTTTTATTATTATTTTATAATTGTCTTTAGTGGTTTTATAATTTGCTCAGATTTGTTTTCATTTAAAGATAATTTAGTTGGATCAGAATATTTGGTTAATTGTTCAATATAAATAAAGATAGCTTTAATTTCTTTTACATTTTTTTTTGTGTTAGTGAGGGAAATTATACAGTTAGCGTGCCGGCGCTTGCATTTTAAAGCGGAAGTAAATCACAAAAGCAGAAATGTGTGCTGCGTCTAAAACACAACAATGTTTTTCTCTATCCTACATGTATCAATTTTAAGTTCAATCTTTTATTGGATTATTTCATTATCTATGGCGTTTAGGCATCAACGATTTTGAAATTTGTTTCGCTCAAAGCAATTACCTGATATACATACATATAAATAATTTGGATACAAATATAGATTTCCTTTAAATAAAAATAGTAATTTTGAACTAATCACACCAACGAAACACTAAAAATAGGCTTATAGGTAGTTGACACAATCAATAAACAGGGGGAAAGGCTCTATGTGTAGATGGGCGACGAAATTTGGCTACGACATGCAATATAAGTGTATAACCGATAACTTGCGTGTTTGTGTGTGTTTTGTGTTTCCGACTGCAAGCATCTTAATAATTTAACAAAACTTAATCTTAATACAGAATCCCATTATATAATTTTTCGATTGCAGTTTTGTTCTCCATTTTGTTTTGTTAATCTTTTTTTTTTTGTTTTTGTGAACTAGAAATTCGAGACTTTTTGTCTTAACAACGAGCACCCGCCAAAAACGAACTTCGCACACTGACTACCACACTTACGAATAAATGAGTAGAAAAAAAATCAGTTGAAGTTACATACAAGCATACATACAAACATATCTAGCCATTACAACAGTTTTACAGCAAATATTAAAATTCATACATCAGCCTACTCAATAGTTGATTTGCTCATCATTGTTTCATCGCCTTGCAAAAGTTATTATTACATATATAGTTCCTGTGTGTGTGTGTGTGTATGTGCCCGTTTGAATGTTGTTTTTGTGTTCGTGTGTGTATATATATGAGTGTGTATTTACGTTAGTTATTCTAGTCTAACGGCTTTGGCTTTTCGAATGTTGTATTAACCACTGCAACGTTATGTCAATATTATCCTTTTCTTTACAAGAAATACTATAACAGCAGATTTCGCGATCCTGTATACTCGACAGATTCCTAAAATACAAAGAAATACGTAAATAGAACACTTTCTTCCAGAGAAAAGCTTAGGTACTCACATTCTCTCAATTAGGCCGGTTTCATCGAGCGCACCTGGAAGATCACGTTTGTTGCCCAATACGAGCACTGGAATGCCATTCAGCTGTGGTTTGTCCAGCAGCGAGTGCAACTCATTGCGTGAGGCTTCCATTTTCTCCAAATCGGCTGCATCGACCATATAGCTACGGAGTTATTAAAACTGTCAGTGCTAGCTTTATAACGTTGCTGCATTTGTAGTACTTACACGATTGCATTGACGCCACGACAATAGCGTTCCCACATCGAACGGAACCGGGGTTGACCACCAATGTCCCACACTTTGATCGTCACATTGCCTTTAGTGATTTTTCTCATATTGAAGCCGACTGTGGGTATCATATCTTCAGCAAATTGACCAGACTGGAGGAGAAGACATATTATCTACATTAGTCAATTATCAATAAAAGCAGCTTTAAAACATTTTGAACAAGTATACGTTTGATATCGCCGGCCTGCGGGTACATTCAGAAACTCTATTGTATGACTCACTCCCCAAACCCGCACACAAAGGCACACAATCATGCAATCGGCAAAACAATTCAGCTTCATTTCGGAGCATTTAAGCTAGTATACCGGGCTGCGTATTGGGGGCACAACTTATCAGCTATATGCAATAATATGCGTGGCAGGCGGGGATGTCGATGGTCGGTGTGAGCTGATAATGCGTCATTGTCTTGAGCAGGGCAGCAATTTATTGATTAAAGCGAAACACACTGCGCTAAAAGAAGTTAGCATAACATTAATAATTAATGCCGAAACAGGAACAACAACTACAACAAATGCCAATCAATATCAAATAGCATACATTGGTCGATTGGTCACCGTCCACCATGTTTGATTGCCCGCAGAACGGCGTTAGTTTACGGTTTTTTTTCGCGATAGTTGCCTTTGGCTCCCTCTCCAGACAGACCTGCCCAGCCCGTTTTTGCAACAACAAAAAAAATACTCACTGCAATAACATTGACGAACGTCGTTTTGCCAGAAAACTGTAAGCCGACAAGCGTAAGCTCCATCTCCTCTTTCCAGAAGATACTCTTAAACCAGTCTAGGATTCTGTTTATTAGCGCTAACATTCTGGCCGCTTAGGTTTTGTTTTCTTTTTGCAAAATTTTCCCCACAAATAGCGTCTTTCTTTGCATTGGCCGAGTTTTCGACTTAGTGCACGGTTGCACGCCAGCTCGATACAATTGGTCAGTATTTATCGGTGCTGCAGCCCTCGCTTCAATTCTATCGATTGTCGAGCACTTGCATGTGTTTATGGTGACTGTCAATTGAAGAATACACCGGCAAACAGACAAAATGGTAAGTAATTGACGTTTGTTTTAATGTTTTGCTTATTAATAATATGTATTTGTAGGCGAGAAATGCGGAAAAGGCAATGTAAGTATGCAACTATTGTAAAATTACAATAATTTAATTAAGTTTTCCCCTGGAACGTCAGGACAACTTTGGCACGCTGGCGCGCTGCTAAAGAAATTGAATCTGGCGAAAAGGAGCGTCGTCCATATCTGGCATCTGAATGCAAGGATTTGCCAAAATGCGAAAAGTTTCGCCTGGAGATCATCCGTGAAATATCTAAAAAGGTCGCACAAATTCAAAACGGTAATTAGCTTATGTGCATATCAGCAAGTAGCTAAAATTTCCTTATTTTTGCAGCGGGTCTTGGCGAGTTCCGTATTAGGGACCTCAACGATGAGATCAATAAGCTGTTGCGTGAGAAACGGCACTGGGAGAATCAAATATCTGCACTCGGTGGTCCTCACTATCGCCGCTATGGACCTAAAATGTTCGATGCGGAGGGTCGCGAAGTGCCGGGTAATCGTGGGTATAAGTACTTTGGTGCTGCCAAGGACTTGCCGGGTGTGCGTGAACTGTTTGAGCAGGAACCGCCACCTCCACCGCGTAAAACACGCGCCGAGCTGATGAAAGACATCGATGCCGAATATTATGGCTATCGGGACGACGAGGATGGCGTACTAATTCCCTTGGAGGAACGTATTGAGCGTGCCGCTTTACTGAAAGCCGTGCAAGAATGGCGAGAGAAAATGGCGCGTGACGGACGTATTGTGGACGAGGAAGAAGAAGACGATGACATTTATCCGCTTTCGGGGCCGGCGCGCGAAGCTGTGGAGGATGCCAAGGCACGTGCTCTCGAAGAAGACCCCTTGGGCTTGCTCGCGCCCAGATTCACCGCCCATGTACCGGTGCCAACACAGAAGGATGTACAGGAAGCGCTATTAGAGAAGCGCAAACAGGAGCTATTACAAAAATATGTAGGGGCTGTTACAAAATAACATTTCTTAATTTTAAGATTAAGTCTTGTAGAATAGTCGTAAGTAATTATCACACAGAGAGTTGTTTTTGAAACATTATGACAATCGTCTCCATTTTAGCGTGCTGCGAACTTTCCACCCAGTTCTTTTAACTCGCGCAACACGAAAACTGTAAGGTCGGCACGAATGCTTTAACTTTAAAATTTATAAAATAATTATGTAAAAAAAACTATTCGAAAGTAATGTTGCATCTAAACGTCCTATACAAATACATTATAAATTTCTATTTAAAAAACGTATTTCATATTGTATATGTATGTATATAACTAGCCGTATACTACAACCTCATCATGAATGAAATAATTAATCGTCAATTTTATTTAACAAATTTAATGATTGTCCACGTTGGACAGTTTTAAATAAAAAAACTTCTAATACAAAAAAAATGTATATAACAATAACAAAATAATGTAAAACAAAGGATGGTAGGCCCCTTGTCAAATACATATACTATAGTATACAAGTATATGTGTGGGTTTTCGAAGGCGGGAGATGTTTCAACATTATTTGGATAAGGGAATTTCGCGCATAAAAATGGCTTTTAATAGTTTATAGGATTGTCTTAATGTATAATATCCTAACCAGTTTACCTGATCAATTTTTCAATTGTAATAAATATAGCATAGGTAATCCTGCAACTGATCTTGTTTTGTAATAAGATTTTCCAAACCTATATCCGACTCTTTTGACTCCAAAGTTTTAAGTATAATTGTGTACTTCTTGCACTACTTGTATTTTGTTTATTTGAACACAATAATCGAGGAATCAGAATATATTGATATGTTGTCAGAATGTTGTCAGCATATTTCATAAAAATAAATCCAAATAAAAGAACGAACCCACTGAGGTCAAAGATTCTCATTTTATTACCATTTAGGTAAGACGTTTTATAAAGTTGAGCAGTAAGAGACCAGGTTCCATTAGAACCCTTCAATGCGGTTTAGACTTAGTAATAGCGTAAGTAGAATGTAGTTTGTTATTTATGTGCAATACATTAATTGCATTAATTTCATTTGAAATTATTTTTAATAACGATCGCGGAAGCCACCACTACGGCGGCCACCACCAAATCCCTGATCACGACCACCTCCCACAGGCCCGCGACCACGAACACCCTCAGCAGCACGACGTTCTTTCATTGCATTGAAACGCTCCGCCATTTTTCGCAATTCCGCCGGAACTTCCTGCCCGGCTTCCTCCATGATGTTAATCAGATCTTTGGCCATGGCCCAGTCCTCGCGCGTTATAAAGCTAATCGAAGTGCCACTACGTCCGGCGCGGCCCGTTCGTCCAACACGATGCACATACTCCTCGATGTTACGGGGAAAATCATAGTTAATGACATGACTAAAAAATGAATTAAAATAATAGTAATATTAATCAAAAAGTCAGTCCAATTTATATGTTTCAGAAGAATTTTGAAAGCTCACGTTATGTCCTCAATGTCCAGACCACGCGAAGCCACATCTGTGGCAATTAAAATGTGAACCATTCCAGACTTAATATCGGCAATAGCCTGCTCGCGATCACTTTGATCGCGATTGCCGTGAATGCATTGGGTGTTGTAGCCGTCTAGCGTGAGATCACTTGACAAATCATCAGCACGCGCCTTGCGGCCACAAAAAACAATTATTTTATCATTTTGTTTCATGTTTTTGACAAATGATTTAATTGTGGAGTATTTGTCACTGTCGTTCTCGAGCAGTTCGATTACCTGCTTCACTGAGTGCGTAGCAGCTAGATCGAGTGATCCCACGCACACCTGTATGGGATTGTTCATGTACTTTTGGGCGAGACGGCGCACGCCTGGTGGCCAAGTGGCCGAGGTCATGATCGTCTGTCGATCTGGGCGTATATCTAACAACACCTTTCGAATCTGTGGCTCAAAGCCCATATCAAGCATACGATCTGCCTCATCCAAGACCAAATACGTAACGGATGACACGTCGATAACATTTGCCTGAACCAAATCGTTAAGGCGCCCCGGTGTACAAATTATTATTTCCGCACCTCGTTCTACATCCGAAATTTGTAGCTGACGACTTCCTCCACCGTAGACGCAAACGCTGCCAAAATTAGGGGAATACAAATAAATACAGAAAAATGTAGGGCACAACAACAATAACTCACGCTTTCATGCCACGGAAGGAATATTTCTTCACCTCCATTTCAATCTGCAAGGCTAACTCACGAGTGGGCGCCAATACTAGTACATTTGCCCCGCCCCTTTGGCCACGAGGGGTGCTCTGATATTCCGTGTGTATCATGCCCGGCAGCAAGAAGGCCAGCGTTTTTCCCGTGCCCGTCTGAGCAATGCCAATTAAGTCGTGACCCTTTAGCAATACAGGCCAAGCCTGTGACTGTATAGGTGATGGCTTCGAAAAGCCCTGCTTTTCAATCTCTGCCAATAGATCAGGGTACTCGGCAAAGCATTGCTTGAAATGCCAAACAGGGTTGGGAATTGGATCCAAAGGTTGATTCTCACTGTTCTCATTCTCAAAAACATGCGACACAGTTATGTTGTTATTTTCTACGCGAAGCCGGTCCGCCTCTGCCTGAGGCAAATTCGCCACCTCTGGCCATTCCTTGTAGAAGTTCTTGGTCAGAGGCGGCAATTTCGCCCAACGTGCCTTCTGCGCAGCAATCTAAGGAATTGGATGATAATAAGGAACAACTTTTCTTTTTATAAGTTGATTTTAAAATTGTTTGACGAACCGAAGCTTTGTTTAAAGCGTCCCAATCAATGAACCCGGTCAAGTCTCCATCTGTCGGAATGGCGCTCGGTGGTGGAGCAAAATCGTAATTGCTACCACTGTTGTAACGTTGTCCTCCCTCTCCACCCGACCTACCATAACTTTTTCCACTGAATCCGCCACCTACGCTGCCGGTCGACTGGCGATTGTCTTCACTTATTTGTTGGCGTATCTCATTGGCTGCATCGCTAACATTGAGCTTGGAATTGCCCAAGACTTTCACCTCCAAATTGGCTTTATCAATGTTGATGCGTACATTGAAATCATTTTGCAGGCGGGTTACGTTCGATCCTGCTCGCCCAATCACACGGCCTACCATGCTTGTACTGATTTTGATTGCCTCACAAAAGGTGTATTCGCGATGATTATCTCTATCGCGTCCAGGTTCTCTGTTCCTTCGCTCGTCATTTCTTTGACCTTGACCGTTACGACGGTCTCGTGAGGCATCATCGTCCCAACGCAAGCTACTCTGATACTTCTCGTTGAAGCGTTCATAAGAAATTTTTGGCGGCTCCGGCTCCGTATAATGTGGATCATCCCAATCTAATGTCGTCATGCTCGGTTTTCTGCAACTGATTTTCAAAAGCTTTATTGATCCGCAAAATGCAAAACACAAATTTCAATGTGTTCCTGCACGTTTAGTATTTTTTGCAGACGTAAGCGAAAAACGGTAAATTTCGAGAAATAATTCTACAAAACTGGCAAGCGTGGTCGCTGGCTCAACTCACAAATAACTTTGAATTGAAGGTTGCACAATAGCTTTTTGGTGAATTTCCGTCGCCGTTTTAAAAATTATTATCGTTTTAAATTTAATAAATTATCCAAGCATCCAAAAACGACCGGAAAAATTGAACTCTCTGTACAATGACAGTGTTGAAAAAGGACATGGCTATCGCCCGCTGCATTTAATTTCGATTCATCTGTCATGTATCGATGTACATACATACATGAGCATGAAGTAGTTCATCACTTCATCAAGTGATGGCAAAGCTTGGTAGTAGTGGTTTTTTAATTTTTAACCGTTTGTTTTTTTTATACACAATTTTTCCTTAAATTTTTCTATAGTATAGTAGGGTTTTCAACAGGCTTCAAAAATATGCTGTTTTTATATTTTTTTAATAATGGATAAGTTTTTCATGGTCATTGCGATTTGGGGTTGTGAAGTTTTGAATGTTACAAATGTACATACATATGTATGTATGTGCATACATATGTACACAGCAAAAACAATATTCTCTTACCTTACCTCAGTAAAGAGTACAAGCCAGGAGTAAAAAAAAAGAAATACCCGTATACTAAGTTTTGAAAAAGTTAAGCCTGCAGTTTTTTAAAGAATCACAACTTTTATAAACAAAATAATTTTCTCCTGTAGGAGAATATGCACACCAAGTTTTGCATACATATGTATGTATGTATGTATTAATATAAAGTAGCTCTAGAACTGCAAAAAGCAACAGTTAATCACAGTAGCTGTTGATCACAAGGCACAATAATAGCAAGTTACTTTCTAGAAGCCAATCAAATTGAAGATTCGAACAAGAAAACTTCTAACAAAGGCAGAATTTGAGACACTTCCCTAATTTATGTATTACTTAATACAATATATCGTGCTGCTAATCAAAAATTGGTCTAGCTTTATTAATGTTAAAAAATTAAATGTTCGGCATGAAGGTGAGGATCCTGAACTAAACGACTGCCATGGATATTTGAAGATCGTAAGTATTCAACGTACAGAAATTGCTTTTAAATCCAAATTCCTTCCCAAATCAGAAGACTTTTTAATTGTATTTAGTTACGTTTTATATACTTTCTTTTTTCTTAACACACATGCTTAAATGGTAGGACTTAGACGCTACATCAAGTTAATTCAATTGTATTTATTTATTCACTCCCGTTCAAACTGTTATAAATAATTAAAACTAGAAAACACAAACACAAAATAAAACAACTGAGCTCTCACTTGAAGAAATTTAAATGTACAATAAGTGGAGTTTCTAGTGTGTACATATGTGATGTGTGTGCACATTATGGTGTGTTGGTGTAGGACAATAGTTGGATAAAACTTAGAACAGTTTTATGTTTGTATATTCGTATATATGGCCAAGTGGTAGTTGGGTCCGTGGCAAGGTGTGGGGCCTAACACTTGCCTAAGCTGTATAGAAATTTGCAGTGCGACTTTCTGATTGGTATCATTCAAATTAAGTTGCAATAGTATTAAGAAATCCTTAAAAACTAAAAAGCGATTTAACATAAAAATTAAGCTAAATTAAACACTAAGCAGGGGCTTTAAAACATTAATTTAGTGGTCGACAATGTCAGGTTGTTTCTTTGCATATTACTTAGGCTCCCTAACATTCTTTCTTTTATACAAATCACTCAATGAACAAACGACCAATATTGTAATAGAAATTTCAATTGCAAGTACAAACGTACGCTTATAAATTAATGGTTTATGTTTAAAGGTGTTGCCCCGTTTCAAAAAATTGGTTTTGAAAATTTTGCAAAATTGTTGTTAGATTGATGTGCTTTTGATGCATCAACCGTTTTCTTAAATCCTGCCTAGGATATAAAAATACAAATTTGCAATCGCTTAGTGGCTACAAATTTACACAATTACATTTTATTTTATTATTTTATTCACAGCAAGGGCGGTGGCCTCCACATTCGCTCGATGTGGCTACCATCAGATTATTATTATTATTACTATTATTAGTGTTATTATTGTTTTCGACCGCATTCGCATTTGTCTGGAGCGTTGGCGTCAGAGCAGGTGCCAACTCGCAACTGGGCGTGGCAGGCGGATCTCGCTGCAGCGGACTGCGTAGACTGGCATTATGTGTGGATATGCAGGAGAAAGGAGGCATGGACGCATAGGTTGTCTCCAGATTAAGCCTCAGCTTGGCGGGAGAGCTGCGTTTAGACGATACCAGCGGTCTGCTGGGCACCAACACGGCAGGCGGTATTGATAGTTGGGAGAAGCTATGTTTAGGGGTGTTTGATGATAAGCTTGAGAGCAAGGAGCAGATCCCGCTGCTGCGGCTGCTGCTACTGCTCGAGCCGGGCGAATCTAAATCGACGATTGCTTTAGCTAACGTTGAGCTGCGCGGCGCCTCATCATCGGGCGTACTGGGTGTTATTGGGGGCGATGTGAGACGCGAGGAGCAGTTGCTGCTGCCAGCGCCGCTGTCCACTTCATCAAAGTCATCAAAGACATCCTCGTCCATGGCTTCGCTATCAGATTTGCTTTTCCTGCATTTTACGCTGCTGCTGCTGTGGCGATAGTTGGCGCCTTCCAGCTGCTCTTCCGCAGCCTCTTGTTCTGGCAGCTCCAGTAACTGACTAGTTGAAGATGCATGTTGTTGTTGTTGCTGCTGCTGTTGTTGATTGACCACAGCCGGTGAGAGTGGGGCTAAGGCGCCGCTCTTGCGTAGACTCTGTTCCAGTTCCAGCAGCTGGCCCATGAAGTTCAGATTGGGCGAGATAATGGGTCGGGCCACTTTCACCAGCTTGTAAGCCTCCAGCAGCGATAGAGACTTGTAGCGCATCACATAGGCAATGGCGATGGTGGCGCTTCGAGAGATGCCCGCATGGCAATGCAGCAAGACTCGGGAACCTGTTTTCCGTGCATCTTCTGCAATTACAAGGGAAAGAAAGGGGGTGAGATTAAGTATAAATTGGCTTATCAGTTGATATGTACTGTATTTAAATACGTACATACATATATATATGTATATACTATACAATTGTATGTACATATGTATGTATGCATAAGTAACAATTAATGTGCTGCTCTGTGACGCCATGAGGCGCTTTATTTGCTCAATCGCATCATCAACAACAATCAGCATCGCCATCAAATCCAATTAGAGTTGCAATAAAAACATTTTTCAAAAACAAACGAGCAAAAAATTAAAATTCAACAGCACGGCATGAAATTTAACGATAACGCAAAATGATTGGCGTCCATCACCTCTCCCCCTTCTTAAAAACAAACACACTGCTCTCTGCTACAAACAACAACTTTGTAAGAGGAGAAACTTTTCTTGTACTGTTTTTCTTTCATGTTTGCTGTTGATACTGTTCGCTCGCTCATTGCTCATTGACGGCAAGTCGTCGATAATGCTTCAATAGTGTTGGTAAATTGCGTATATACTGGGCTATTCGCCATGCTCTCTCTACTCACAACACAGACAGCAATGTGCTCTTCTCAACCGTTGTTGTTTTTGCATTGACGTGTGCGCGTGTGTGGCTGTGTGTCTGTGTGTTGTGTATATCTCTGCGATGGATGGATGGATGAGTCACACAATATCAAAAACATTCGCTTTTAGCTGTTCTGTACATTTTTATAGAGGTATACAAACACCGCATATACACGCACGCACACACACACACACACACGCGTGCATACAATTTACGCTGATATTTTTGAACCAGATAAGCATACGGCATTAAATTTTTGTTGTGCTTTTTTGATATTGTGGGGCAGAAAGCAGCCCTGGCAATCTAATCTGTGTGTGACCAGGGATGGCAACAATACTGAACGACCGCTCACCGATCGCAACGTTCTTGCAACAGCGGGCATTACTCATAAAGCAAATAAGGCGGTAATAACACTTGACTTTAGCGATTTCGAAACAGCTGATAAAAGCCAACAAGCACCAAAAGCAAAACCTTTTCAATCATTTTCGTCATCGCAGTCATAGCCCATCAAATAACAGCCCGTTAGTCATATCGGTGGCGTCGTTCCCAGGTACACACGCTTAAGTGTTTTAATCAAGTAAGCTATCTGCATACATACATACACACAAGTACACATTATATTGCACTCGGCCCTTAACTGCCCAACAGCCCTTATCAGCAGTTAGTCAGGCAAACACTTGGTCACCAGCCCACTTCAATTTGATAAGGAGGTGGTGCGGTGGTGCGCATGCTTTCCTCGTTCAATTGCATCGCCCTTACGCCCTAGGAAATTTCGAGCAATTGACAAATCCATTTATCAATAGAGTGCACGTATGTATGTATGTATGTACATACATATATGTATATTAATATATTAGATTTATCAATGAAATGGGGTGCAAAGAAGAGGCTGATAAGTTAAGAATGGGAAACCGTATACTATCATATACATACATACATACATACATACATATGTACTTATGTATTTATGTAAAAAAATGAATGTGTCTATGTAGAAAAAAGCATGTCAAGCTACAAACGGTAAAATTCATTTAAAGAATTATAATTAAATTATGTATGCATTTTAGTTAATGTAGCTTTGGAACTATAGAAAGTTTTGACAAAATTCGGAGGAAGAGGTACATGTACATACATACATATGCATATAATATAAATCTAGTGTTTGCTCAATATGGGTTCAAACGTTTCCGAAATTTAGGCGTCCATCTAGACGGACCGACATGTCTCGTCATGCTGATTAGGAAATGCTTACACTTTACACAAAACTAATAGGCATAATCTGTATATACAGAAATGTATATATACATACATATGTACATATGATATTCAAGCTCTTCAAGGGCCCTGATAATTGCATGATTTCCGTCATCCATACAAATGGATGTACAAGTACGTATGCACATATTGTACGAGTATGTAGGTATGATTTGTTAATTCATGACAACCCCAAAGTTATTTCTAGATCATACGTCAAGCCTTGAAGTGGCTTGGTAATCAAATCAAGCTATCAATATTTGATAACATCGATATATTGGCATGATAATGCTGTTTTGAGTATTGTAAAATAAAATCAAATCCATTGTAAATTTATTGGCAAAAACAATATGTACGGTATTATGAGAATACTATACAATGAAAACTCTCTTAATAGACATCTCTTTTATCCGGATACTCCCTAAATATCTTTCCCATTATAACACATGAAATTATTTGAACAGACAATTTATTGTATCTAAAATGAATGCTGTACTCGTACATTGAATTCTGGAAAGCCTCATATTTCCAATGAAATGGACACAGCCAGCGATGAACTGAAAAGCTCAACACAGTTTTCCAACGAATTGTATGTGAATTCCCATTACGCTATTCCTTCGAGGGGGGGCCTAAAATTCTCTTTAATAAACAACAAACATCCTATAGTTGTTATTGTGTTTTCATGCATGGTTTGATTAAAATCCGAAACATTACGAGTAATTCGAGCAATGCCATAGCATAGGCCGATACAAAATTCTAAGACTGATGACAACAATTAGAATTTAAAGACGACCATTTTTGGCTAGCAGGGAGTTTTTTGTTTGTCTATTTCTGGCCACAAGTAGCTGGTCTAAAAATAAACACCGTTAAGTGTGCATTCGCAGATATATGTACATACATATGTATATCTGGGTGAATATAGATTTATGAACATGTGTGTAGGTATGTCGCCAGAAGCAGCAGCAACAGCAGTCGAGGCACAGACAGACAACTGGTCACCGCGGTTGTGCTCATAAATCCTCTTAGTTAATGACCCCGTCGCTCAGACAGTTAAAAACGCGCATAAAACGCGCCATAAACGCCAGGCGAAGGCAGTGAGTCATGGGCTAGAGGAAAGATTTGCATTCATACATATGTATGGATGTGTGTCTGTTTATACAGACATATGTACATACACACTTTTACTTAATGCTGCTAGGGTTCTCTTTCTTCTTGCTATTGTTGATGCTGTTGCGAAATCGAAAACGGAACTTGGAAACGCACGCTCTAAAAATGCCGGCTAGGTCAATTGATTTTTGTTGGTATTACTGCTGCCATTACTACTACTACTAATTGCCCATTGGCGATATGTATGCGTGTATGTATGCTTACTAATCCCCTAGCCATGCGACATTTATGACTAAACAGCAGCGGCAGTAGCAACAACAACTGCCAGTTGCATAGTCCAGCGATGAGAAATCAGAATCGAAATTAAAATCGTGCCGTGCCTGGAAATGTCTAAGGTATGTATAGTATGTAGCTGCAGTCATTGTCCATAGTCCACATTCAATGTATTGTAGATATGTATATTTATATATACAAGTAGAGTCATCACCATCATTATAATCATCTAGTAGGGCAACTCAACTCAGCTCAGCGCTCAGCTCATCGTGACTCCATTTTTGGGGCGCTGATGCGTAATGCGCGCGCTTTTCACAAGTGGCACGCTCGATTGCATTTCGTGCCCGATCTCTCGATGATTAAGTGCAGTCACTAATGTCGCCGCCGTTCTGGCCGATCTGGCTGGCTGCTGCATCATGTATAGTACATATGCATATACGAGTATACAAATATGTGCGTATGGGAAAGATACACTGGGGTGTACACGGTTGTGCGTCATGCGGCACAATGCAACAATTGGGCCAAGCGGTAGACGCGCATCTGACAGATAGGCAGCCGGCAAGAATGCCTCACATTTCTGTCCCTGTGACGCAGCAGTGTCGAGATACTTTTGACCGACTAAGCACCGAGTAAGTGGCGCCGGCTGTCTGTGCCTGCAATGATGACACTGTCGTTGTCTTTGTTTTTGGTGTTCTCGTTGTTGTTCTTGTTGTTGTTGCATTTGATGTTTCACTTTTGTCTTGGTCGATGATTAAGCACAGCGCACAAATTCGAAGGGTCAGTCTGCCAAGTCGTTTATTGTACTCGTACTTGTATGTACTACCTAGACGCAAAACTGGCAAAGCAAACACAAGCGAACAAGCAAACAAAACTTCTCTGACTCATAGCCGACAACAAAAGCAGTAAGTAATACAAGCAGCAGCAGCACCAACAACCATCGTATTAAGAGTAATAAAAATAATACTAAATTCAGTCACTCCAAGCAAATGAACAACTATTTTGCCAAATCCGAGATTAGCTTACTTAAAAGGAATTAAGGATTATCGAGCCGAATGAATTTATATTCATTTCTTGTCTAAAGTTAATCAAAAGTAAACCTCCCATATCAAATGTCCTTCAAGTGTGTCAAGTCCATTATGCACATTAATTTCTTCAAATTTTAAACAAATTAGGTTTGTAAAGCACGTCTGAACACATCTTAAATGGCCGATATCGGTAAGGTCCGAGACAGGCGTTACGGCGTCGTCGTCAAGCAACAAGTAGTTTGTTTGTTTTAAAATATTTAATTACTTTTGCTGTTTATCATTAAAAAAGCGCGCTTACTCACACAGTCGGCAGAAGCCAACGGGCGAGTCCAAGTCATGCTTACTACAGAACTCTGAGAACCGGGAACCTGATGACGGCAGGTGTTGTCGCTGTCGCTGCTGGCGTTGGCGCTGCCGTCGCTACCGACAGAGGATGACGCAGGATGCGTTTTTATACATTTCCTTTTGTTGCTGTCGATGATAAGTGCACAAAGGCAGCTGACATTGGACGACCTTATCTGACGATTGGCATGAATCACACGCTTAGCCATAACACAACAAAACTCAAGTAACAACACCAACAAAAATAACACTCAGCATCAAAATATTGACCTTCAACTTCAGGCTGAGCTTTTTGTTAGATGTTTGTTGGTAAATTGTTGTTGATACTGGACGCGTCTTGCGGAAATAGCGCTAAAGAGTTTGTAAGGCGCTGCACTTTGAAGTTGCCTTCAAGTTCACAGCTTCAAGACGTACAACAACTACAACAACA